TTTTACTTTATATATAAACCATTCTTAAAAATATGTTAATATTTCTGAGAACCGTTCTTAACTTGAATTAAGTTGAGAGAGGATTTTCAAGAGAGAAGCAAAAATTATATTTGCAGTTGGCAGCCCTAGGATAAGCCAGGTTCTCAATAAATATTATTATTTATTATGTACCTATATATATAAGATATTCTTGAAGATAACTTATTGAAAACCTTTTCTAACCCATTCCAGAAAGAGAATTGAGAAGATAAACTCTCAATAATTTTTTATCTGATATCTTGCTTGTCTTTTTTAAGTAATATTTACAATAAATAAGTTTAAATTGCGTGGGTTTTCATAGGCATAGTCTAAAAAAATGTTGATTTCCTTTAATTAATGTTGTACTTTTTGTATTTTTTTTTTGTATTTTTGTGTCGCCATTAAATAAATAAACACTGTTAAGTAATTTTCTTTACTCTATTACTTTTTGTGACTGGTAAAAAGCTGTTGGAATTGTTAAGTTACAATCAACTGGAAACTCTTATTAGAGGGTTACATAACTTCTGATGTTTATAGCTAGGACATTGTCATATGTCATCCTTTAATAGAGGGTTACACAACTTACTATTTATATAGCTATGTGGCATATGTCAATATGTCTAATAACTGGAAATAGATGCAATTTGGTCGACGAAAATATTTTCTTACTAATCTATTCACATTCTTTATGTGTTTCCAGGTTGAATATTTAAAGCAAACACATTTTTCAACAACTATCAAATTAATTGAATTTGGTTTTCAGCATCTTTGGTCATTATTATGATTATTTTTAGAATTTGTGTATTACGATTACTTGAACCTCTCTCAGATATAGTTGGCATTTCTCTGAACCCCTAGAAAAGTGTACCAGAAAAGGACCAATTAGTAGATCTCTCTCACTCTCCTGCTAAGTTTCTGGATGTTTTGATTAGGTAGACTGTCCCTATTTCAGGGACTTCACTTTACATACCCATCGATCATTAGTGCCTTTTTTCAATGTTATCCACTGAGCTTAACACTTCAGCAATTTGAGACGTTTCAGAAATGATTTAACTGCTATTTACAAAGAAGCTGACAGAAAGCAGGCCCGGCACAAAGACCTTCAATATGGAACTTGAAAAAAAATTAAAATTATAGCAAAACTCGTGGAACACACACAACAAAAAAAAAAAAAAAACTCAAAAAGAAGGTAACCAAAAACCAGTTTTCAGCTGGAAAACAATAACAACAACAAAATAACGAGTAAAATTGGTATGATATTGTACGTAAGCCGTAATTGAAGTTAACGTAATTATAAATGTGGCCCGCAACAAGAACAAAGTGGTTACAAAAAAAGGAACGAGAAAATAACGAACACAAAATACCCTTAACTAAAACTTGACTCACAAATCTATTTTTTGTTGGTTTTCACTGGTTTTTTTTTGTATAATAATTATTTGAATAGTTCATTTTTTTATTATATTATTTAATTTTCTTCTTAATTAATTTGTTTTCCTTTTATTTTATATTGTTAATTTTTAAAATCCTTTTTTAAAATTGAAGAATGTTTTTAGCAAATAACAACTGCATTTTCAAATGCCGTTTTGCATACTGCGTAAGGAAATTAGGAATGAGATGAGATAATGTCAGCGTGGAGAATGTAACTGCAAGCTGGGAAACTGAGAACTGAGAGCGGAGAACTGAGAGCTGGAACCGAGACTCACCCAGCCTTAGACCCCAAGTCTCACCAACTCCAGACTCAAAGATGACGATGTGTTGCGCTTAATTTCCCAATTTACATGGAAAACTTTTCAAGACGCTACAGAAATTCATTTGTGGCTTCACATCACAAACTGTGCAATATTTGCAGTAGGGGGCAGTAGGGTGCAGAAGGGGTGGTAGGGGGGAGTGGCAGGGGCAGTTGCGAGCAACGCTTCTTCACAAATATAAGTCGAAAAACGTGCGCTTTACATTTTTCCTCGATACAAACAACAAAAAAAAGAGAGAAAAATAAAAATAAAAATGAAATAAATCGAGATTCAAGGTTTTGAGGACATTGACGCAAATGTCAGCGAGGGAGAGAGAGCGAGAGCGAGAGAGAGAGAGAGATGGAAACAAGTTTTGAATAGCTCATGTAATACATATAGAGACAGATACAGATACTTATTACTTATATATATATATATATATGGATATGCATCAAGAGATGAGTGACAAAAGATGACCGATTTGCAAATGTTGCTCTGAGTTTTGAAAGTCAAACATCAAACGGTCTTTAGCAGATAGTGCAAAAAAAAAAAGATATTTTGATTAATTTTCTTTTGTCGATACTTTGGAGCAAAGCTTAAGAGTTTTCTTGGAATAATATTAATATGGAATAATCCAAATATGTTGAAAAATATCTCTTAAAGCTAGTTGGTGCCTTCATCTAGCTAATGTTTGATATTAATATAGAAAATAGTTCATCTAAAGTATTTGTATTTGATTAACCTAAATGAATAGTGTAATTTGTTCTTTAAGCTATTCACTTTGGACTGTTTGTTAAAAAAAGGATCATTGAGTTAGGAGATGTTTGATGTTTATTGTAGAGTTGTTTTTGGCAAAGTGTGTTGTTTTTTGGGTGGGTTTTTAATTCGCATGATCCTGGTCTGTCCTAAGAGTCTAATTATTTTCGTTTGATCTAACCTTCCTCTAACAACTATATGAGACTTGTTTTATTAGAAATGATTATTTTTTAAGTTGGGGTAAGATAATAAAATAAAAGTTACAAAATCTTCACAATAGTTGACTCAGAATAAATTTTAAGCCCAAGTGTTTTCTTAACAAATTTTATAGTGATTTATATGTATAAATTAATATTTATTATCTATAATATTTTTATAGTTTAAGCATTTAATATGTGTAATATTAAATTAAAAATTGCCTTTAAATTTGATTTGTATTTATATTTAATTTATTTTCATTTTTTGCTTTGTATTAGTCGACATTTAATGAAATAAATAAAAAAAAAGCAGATTCAAATATTGTTCGACGTCTATTAAACATTTTTATTTACTTTTTTTATTTTATTTTATTTTTTTCTTGTGACGTACACTGCCTCAAAACATTTCATGAACACTCCTGAGCTCTCTTGCATTCTATACGAATTCTTTGCAATCTCTCTCTCTCTCTCTATCTGTCGCTGTCTGTCGGTGTCGCTCTCCTTGGCTCGCTCTCTCTCCTGCCTTATCAGCAGAGCTCTCGCTGTCTTTGGCAGTTTCAAAACAAAGTCCATTTGTGATTGTTGGTCAATATTTTCAGCGTACAGTAGAGACAACATTTAAAATGCTATTATCTAATCGCCACCGATAGTTTGCATGTGTGTGTGTGTGTGCGTGTGTGTCTGTCTGTGTGTGTGTGTGTGTGTGAGAGAGAGAGCGCGAACTTACCTTGGCGATAAGCCTTAGCACAATGTTTAGTTAGTTATTTTTTTATTATTATTAAATTATGAGCAGAAGCAATTAAGTCGAGGGACCCAAGGAAAAAAATGATTATTAAAAAAAAAACCAAAAAACCAAAATTTCAACTTACGTACAAAACTATTTATAAAGAAATTGTTTCTGCGGCTCAAAACTGGTAAAACCTGTTCGCAAATGCTGTGGGCCAAAACGAAATAACGAATAAAAAACACAAAAAAAAAAAAACACCATCTAACAATAAACTAATTAAATCAAATCAAAATACGTCGGAAAAGAGCGACAGAGACAGAAAGCGGGTGACTGAGTGAGAGAGAGAGAGAGCGAGGCAAAAGAGTGAAAGAGAGTGAGCAAACTGCACATAAAAATAGCCGCAGAAAATGTTCATTGAAAAAATTATAAATAAAATGTTGAAAAATGCCTAAGTGTATTTATATATTTAAATATACATATATATATATATATATAATATAGTGTATATGTATTTATTTCAATACCATATGCAAAATGTGGGAGATAAGAAAGCAAATTGGCCGACAAGCTCAAGTGATACGGCATAAATGTATCTGTATCTGTAAGATACGATGTATCTGTGAGATACTTGCACTCGCACTTCACATGACACGAAGCGTTAAAAATTCACGACTAAATAAAACACACACAGAGAGACACACACACACATGCACAACAAATACCAAGTTCTGTGTGTCAATTCATCATTTTGGCAATTTAGTTAGTTTAGTTTTCGCTGTTTTTGTTTGCTTGTCATTAAGTTCAGTTAAGACAGCCTTTAGGCCAATGTTTGCCACTGCATTACCATTGAAATTCGAACTGAACTCTTTGCTATGAATTGTTCATTTAAATACAGTGAGGCAAACAATTAGTGCTCAAATCCGTTAGATCAGAATAAAAACAGAGCTAATCGATACTAACTGTTGTGCTAATTGGCAAATATCTGCGTTAACTATATCTTTTTTCTAGTTTTTAAATTTAAATTTGTATTATTTTTATTAAAAATCAAATTCTCTATTTATAATCTATAATCAATAAAATACAATTTATTTTTCGGTATTAATGGATTTTTTCAGTTAACTTTATTTACTATTTATTGTTAACTAGAACAATGATTTTCGTTCAGTGTACAAGAATTTCTATTTACTTAAACTTATGCAGCCCAATTGCCGATGACTCGAAATTGATAAACACCTCAAATATCTGATAGCTGAAGTAAGCCCAATAAGAAATCAGAAAAGTATAAAATTTACTACCTAAATCATAGAGAAATTTTGGATAGAGAAAATGCAGTAGTTCTCTCGGGGTTTAAATTACAAATGCAGATCACCAATCTTATAATTATACACAAATTTTAGAAGCTATCACAAAAGTTGTAAGCGAAATAACAAAATTTGAAAAAATATTCAAATTGACTTAATTCATATTAAAACTAAAATCCAAATGAGTATTTGTTTAATTGGATTATGGGTGAATTTGTATTTTTATTTAAGAATGATTGATTGAAATATTCATTAAATATTGATTGATGTATACCTTTTTTATTATTTTATTCAAAGCTTTCGACTCGAAAAGCTTCTTCAATCAATATTTCGAAGTGCGTAGTAATCCAAGTTTTCATTGAGTTTGTTTCGCTGCATTTTGACGATATTTTTACATATTTTGTGTGATTAATTTTTTAATTATCGATAATTATTATTTGCACATTTATTTTCACTTATTTGCGATGCTGGGCAACACTGGCCTAACAATTAATTTGGTTGATTGTAAATTTTTGTTGTTGTTGTTGTTGTTGTATACAATTTGCAAAGTGAAACCGTTGCGTGTATAAATATATATATATATATATTTATACATACATATATATATATATATGTATATATGTGTATTACTCTATATGTAGCTATAAATTTGCTTTCTATTGATTTAATATTTTCCAAGGCGAACTTGATAGATTTTTGTTTGGTTTTTCTTCTTGTTATTTATATATCTTTTTATTTATGGTAAATTTGTGAGAATATATATATGCATGTATATATATAGTGTATTTATTGATTTCTTCAAGAAATTATATAGTACTTGTCGTAGAAGTCAGAACTATGGAGCCAAAAAGGAGCAAAAAAAAGAAGACAACAGAAAAATATAAAAACAAAGTAAATAGACTATTAGAAAAAGAACAACTTTAAGTTTAGATAGTTGGTCGAGGAGGGGGTGGTGGGCGGGCGGGTTTTTTTGGTCGACAACATTTGACTCGGTGCGAGTGCGAAACGAAATGGAAACGAAACAAAATATAAATAAAGATACGCGCAGGCGGCGACAGGCGACAGGCGACGTACGAAGACGACCACAAAGCGAGTGACGACAATTCGATTATGAAACGCGGCTAAGCGACAAGAGAGCGAGAGCGAGAGAGCGAGAAAGAGAGAGAGAGCCGAGGCGGCCACGAGAACGCGCGCGCTCCGAGAGAGAGAGAGAGAGAGAGAGAGAGAGAGAGACACGGTGGCAATGAAACGAGACACTAAAATTCCGTAACCGAATTGAAATTTATTTTTGAAAGAAAATATACAAAACACTTTTTTGTGATTTTTGTGCAGTTTGTTTTCAATAAAATTGCAATATTTTTGAATTGTTGGCAGCAAACTTGGGCAGTTGGTGGCGAATTGCGAGCAATTTGCGTTGCAAACACTTAACGCACACACACACACACACACACCAACACACACACGCACACACACACTTTGCTTTTCTCCTTTTATATTTTTTTTTTGATTCGCTTTTTGTGTGCACTTTGAGATTTTTGAATAATTGTAGATATTTGTTGCTATTAATTCACTATTGTTTGGATAGAGTTAGTTGCGATAGATTGGCTGGGAATCACGCACGACGCACGAGGCACGAACGGAGACACGTCGACAGTGGGACAAGCAGAGAGGCTGGCAATTTTTTTATATTTATTTTATTTTTATTTTTTTTTGTCTGCCTTGTTCCGGGGGCCCGGCCAAGCAAACCTCACCAAACGAAATACAAACTCGAACTGAAACGCATCCAAGAGATACACCAGCTGTGTGTGTTCAGTTCAGTTCATTCCGCGCTCTCTCTCTCTCTCTCTCTATCTGTCTCACACTCTCTCTCTCTCTCTATCTCGCTGTCAAGTGTCGCGAGAGCGTCCGCCGTATTTTTTGCTAACTGTTGGCAACACTTTGCCCCATGGCAGTGCAGCATAGTGCGCCTCTGCTTGCACCAATGACGAACTGTCGTGCAATCAGAACGAGATGCAGCAACTCTACTGTGGTATTTTTAAGTTCGCTCTCGCGCGCTCTCCCTCTCTCTCGCTCTCTTTCTCTCTTTCGCTCTCTCTCTCTCTGGAGGCCACTGCCGGCATTTTCATTTTGCGTGGTGGCCCCACAATTAGCGTATCTGAGAGATACGACGACGACTACGTCAAGAACGGTACGCAAAAATCAAAAACAATAATTGCTGTTTTGAGCGTATTTTGTGTTTTTGTTTTGAGAATAAAAAGTCAAATATCCAAACAGATACTTAAACTGTGAATACAATCAAGTTTCCGAAATTAAATGCCAAGATTTTCCAACAAAAGTTGATCAACAAGGAAAATAAAGAAAATAAATAAATATCACAACAAAAACATAAACACGAAACGGCGAATGCAACAAAAAAATAAATAAAAACACATATTTTGATGACGAAACACATGTTGTGTTTACACACACAAACACACACACACATACACACAAAGAGCGTGAGAGAGAGAGAGAGAGAGAGAGAGAGAGAGAGCTGCAATTGGCGCTCATTTGCAGCTTTGTCGCGCAACGCAGCGACAAAAACAAATTAAGAACAAAAAAAAAACACAATAAAAAACAACAACAAAATGGAAAAGCTCTCCACGTTTTCGTACTCGTCACTGTCGCCTTCAATTTCAATAGCACTTAGAGCGACTAGCTGTTCCTACAACACACACATAGACACACACACACACATGGCTAAACTTCACAGATACAATCCAGCAATCACTCACACACTCACTCACACACACATACATATTTTAGTTTAGTTTCATTGACAGCTATTTCGCTGCTTCCTATGGCAATTTTTTTAGTCAGCACAGTTGAATGTATTTATTTATTAATTTATTTATTATTATCGCATAAGTCTATTTTTCGCACTTTTCTTAAATTGTGTTTTGTTTCTATTTGTATGACAAGTTCCGTTAGATCGTAGTTTTAATTAAATTTCTTTTATTTGAGAGAATGCTCCTGGCAGCTTTAAAGTCAAACTTAAACTGCACTAAAATATCTTCAGCAACTTGATATCAGTCTCAAAATTTTAGCAATTGATTCGCAATTGATGAATTGCAATTTCAGATTGCCCATTTATTGATAAGAAGTATCGCCAGTCCAACAAAAACTGAGTTTGTCAATAATTTGCTAATCAATCTCTTAGTTTCAAATGTTAAATAATATCAATTAAAAATGTATTTCTACGAGTTGCTCAACTTACCAGTTCGCTTTTGAAGCCAGTTCAGCATCATTTTTTGCATGGCAACTTCTTCTTCTACAAAAAATAGAAAAGTTTACTATGTAAATTTAATTATAACTTACAATTTCAAAGAATAGAATTTAAAAAATAAATTTTAAAATAAAAATAAAAATAAAATTAACAATAAATTCAAAATAATTCATTTAAAACTTAAACAAACAGTTAAGTTAACACTTTAGATGTAACAAATAAAATAAATTGTAAAATGTAAAATATAAAAATAGAAATATTAAAATGTTCATAAAATTTCATTAAATTTTGCTTGGTTTTTGTAGCTTCCACAGTAGTAAATTCGTCTAAAATTGTTTTATGATTTTATAAAAAAAAAAACACTTCTTTATCAGCTTAAATAAATATGAGGAAATTAAATGGTTCTGAGCAATTACAACCTAAAAGTTTAGATAAGAAATTTAAGCATAACTTTGAGTTTTTAAAGCGATTATTGTTATTTTAAAATCCAATGTTTACTTATTGTTTTTGTTTAAATTAATATGACGTCAGCTAACACAACAATAAACAATTTTCATGTCGCTCAATTCGCAGCCCTTCTGGTCGACAGTTTAGATTTTGGCTAAGATTCTATTTGCCGGCCTTAATTATGCATGACAAATGCAGTTAAGCTGCTGATTGTATGCACATAATTACCGCACACGACCACAGAACAAAAACAGAAAATATAAAAAACAAAGCAACAACAACAACAACAACTACAACATAAACAACGAAACAACTTACCAAACTGCTAACTACAACAGGCAAATGGCAAATGTGCTACTTTAATTGCTGACAATTTAAAACTTTATTTCTTTTTTTTGTTCTTTGTCTTTTGCATTTGGCTTTGGCTCCGTTCATTACATATATACATAGAATATACATATATATATATACATATATATATATACATATATATATATATATATATATACTTTGTTTTTTATGTTACAAACAATTAGAAACGAAATGAGCACAGAAAACGCTTAGGTGTGGCAAAAACTTGATGACAAATAAGAAAACTCAAAACTAGTGACAATTTCCCAAAGTCTTAGCTGGAAAAACTGTTTGATGGCATTGAAGTTGACGCAAGACTCAAGTCATTTCTACTTACAAATGGCCGGGTAATGCTATGCAATACCCTACACATTTTTCAATTATTTTCAAGTCAATCTATCTATCTATTTGCAAGTATTTTTACTTAACAATCCACAGTGTAAATGACCGCAAATTTATAAAATATGAGAGTTCAAAGTTGACAAAAAATACGAAATCCATCAACTCACTTTTAAATCTTATAATTAATATGAAAAAAAAACCATCCGAAGGTTCCTATACAGTTGAATATAATTGATTAGAGCAAAACAAAGCTCGGAATTGGTGAGTTTCTTCAGATAATTTGGTACAACAAAAAGTTTTAATGCAGAAAATCATGTTCGTTTTTATATTATATATATTATATAGTTTTCTTTATTATATCGTTTTCCAATTATATATGTATGCTTTATTGAGTCATAGATATTTTGTTTAATCTTCAATCCGGTAATTTAAAGTGTCAGGCGATTGATTTCCCAGCCGATTTGCGATAACGATTTAATTCTAATTCGATCCCACTTTTTAGATGGACAACATAAAATTTCACACTGAGTTTATTTTTATATTTTAAACCTATTCATATTTTTAAGCGGATTTGTTTTTGGTATAGGATATATATAATTGAATCGATAATTGTTAACTAATTTTACATTTTTTTTTAGAAAAACCAAGAGGGAATTGTGCTTAAAATTTTGACTACCATTTCGCTGATAATCTTTATGAATTCCATCCATTTTATTTTCTGTACACAGACTGTAATAAGCACAATTTGTTATCACGATTCCTTAGAACAGCGAAATCCTCAAGTGTTAAAGAACGCGAATAGCAGATACCCTTAGCCCAAGACTGGCTGTCTTAAGTCACACATGACTTGATAAATAAACAAACCCGTTTATTGGTATATATGTATTTATTTATGTTTATATATATAAGATGTATAATTTAATACATTTTATTATATTGCCCAAATCCCAAGTAAATAAAAGAGAAATAATCGATTTTTATCGATATCACTGAAACGGAGAAAGTTATCGATGAAATTAAATTAACTTGACTGGTTTATGGAAAATTTCTCTAGCTTCTATTATGGGATTTGAAATGGTGCCTTCAGGCTGTTACAAACACATCATTATACCCTTTGCACAACTTCAGTGGGTTTAGGGTATTAAAAAACCCAGTAGTTCCCAAAGTGATGCCATAAATT